ATGCCATAATTGACTAAATGGTAGCCAAATGTTGTACGTGCTTTAGAACGGCTCGATCCCACAAAGACCTTACAGAAACACCCAAATCCCCTCTGCTTCCTTAACAAGTACACCAATGCTTGTCCAACACACCTCCGCCTACCTAAAAGCATGCGTTAAGTGTGTGCACTTGCCGTCCACGTGCCTTTTGATGTGCCTGCTACGCAAGCAGCAATTACCCCTGTGTGAGGCAAATCCCACCACCAACAAACAAGGACCGTTTATCAGCAAGTAAGAGGATTTCTGCCGCTTACAAAGGGACGGTTACTCCATAATGCTAATGCCACTTGGCACTTGCCGTAAACTGCTGCGTAGCGGACAAAGTACACGACGGAGCACGATTATTAATAATTTCTACCACACAGCGAGAGGACGCTAAACGTTCAGACGATAATATTCTGTTTCGGACATGTTTGACCACATTGTATAGCCTCAGGGCAGTTCATTATATGTATGTATGTACATGCAGCCTTACACGCATATACAACACACTGTGTATGTTCAGGAGCAGCGGAGTGTAAAGATATGAGATTGGATACATTTGCAAACAGACGACACACGAACTTGCTGGCACACCGCATTCATTGCGGGCCAGTAACCCTACCCCTTTTAGTCCTCAGTCTACACACGCACGTATGACACAGCAGAGTGCATGGCTGTTGCATGACAGGCCAGAGGAGAAGAATTTAGACAGAAGCAGCCGAGCGTGAAAGGAATGGAAGCACTAAAACTCCAAGAGAGAGGAGGCAGTGGCGCGGAACGTCCCCAAGGCAACCTGACCCCGAGCACTTGTGGTGGTGGTTTCATATTTCGCACCACGGACAGTGGGTAGTGGGGCATAGCGGAGGGGAGAGTAAGAAGAAGCTAAGAAGCCTAAGGCAAACCTCACACTTTCTCCTTTGACATCCCTGTGTAGTAAAGGAGTAGAGGGGGATACAGTTACAGGCAGATAGCGACTATAGGCCTACATTCCATATGAGTGCCACAACTCATACACACACACACTCTCACGCGTACAATACTACGGCGCACTAATAGGGACGATGTGTTATGGAAAAAACAAACACGGTTTCGAGGCATTTAGATGGAGTGATGGAGTGAGTTTCACGGTTGGATGAGCGCAGGTCATTTCTTACGGGATAGCTGTCACATGCCAGGCATTCACTTCGGTAGGTTGAGCAGGTATACAGACCCACCACTCTGAATAATACATGACCTCACATGAATGTGGGATTCAGAGGAGTAAGGGTAGCGATTGCTCCCGTTGCCTTCCTCAATTATATGCATGCATGATTCCGGCTGGGATATCCGCGGGCGATTCAACCCCGCGCGTGCAATGTATATACACACTGTGATTGTGAGAATGTATAGAAATGGAGGACTGTTACTGTGTGTTGCATGCCCCACATATCGCTTAATCTGAGATTCACACACACACACACACACACACACGAGAAATTTGATTTTGGGGCTAACGTTGGTGGTCGAAAATTGAGTACCTATGGTAGCTCTTTTTCATTTGTTTTCCTAGGGGTCATCTAATTGTTTGATATGCACTTTCCTCGTATTTACACAATAATAACGCCATAAAAAACCACACATCCAAAAATGGGCATGTGAATGAAATTTTCACAGACGCTGGCACCATTAGAGAGGTGAAACTTGGCCGGGCCTGCCACATTTACAGGAGCCGGCACGGTACATTTACTTGGCTATCCCCGCGAATTGACCAATGAGATTTCCGCGATATCAATAGAAATTTAACACAACGAGGCCCAATGAGGTAACAATGGGATCCATGCTGCGGCCCTAAGGCTAAAATAACCATGTGGTACACGTCCCTAATCAAATAATCAACAATGGTCTACGAGTGTACACTCATTGACTTATCCAATTGTCTACAATATGTCCAAGTGTAGCCTTAGGCTGGGTTCACAATATGGCGCAGTGCCCCGTCGCGCCGTGCCGCGTCAAGTCCTGCGCGAAGATAGAAATGGAGTCTATCCTCATCGCATTGCCCCGTCAAGTCCTGCGCGAACAAAGAAATGGAGTCTATCCTCATCGCATTGCCCCGTCACGTCCTACCGCGAACAAAGAAATGGAGTCTATCCTCATCGCATTGCCCCGTCACGTCCTACCGCGAACAAAGAAATGGAGTCTATCCTCATCGCATTGCCCCGTCACGTCCTACCGCGAAGATAGAAATGGAGTCTATCATCGCAACGCGGCATGGCGCGACGGGCCAATCCGACATATTATTGTGAACCTAGCCTAACCGTGGAACCTCTGAATAAGTGAAACATTAGGACCATGAAAGTTTGGTGTCCTTTATTCTGAGGTTAAACAATACACCAAAGTATGTAGTTTTGCGATCCGTGAATATTATATGTCTTATGTAGAGAGAGAGAAAGAGAAATGCCGACAATTTGTCGGGGTCGAAATCAGGCACATTGTATTGGGACATGCGGACACTGAGCTACAAATTCCAGACAGCTGTATGTAGTTTCACAGCCATGGATATTCATCTTACACAGGCGTGTAGAGAGAGAGAGAAATGCGTTCGTCAGGAATCGAACTCAAGCACAGTGTATTGAGACATGCAGACACTGAGCTACAACTCCAGACAGCTGTATGTAGTTTCACAGCCATGGATATTCATCTTACACAGGCGTGTAGAGAGAGAGAGAGAAATGTGTTCGTCAGGAATCGAACTCAAGCACAGTGTACTGAGACATGCGGACACTGAGCTACAAATTCCAGACAAAAGCTGGTCTCTCCTTTTGCCTACAAGTGGTGTACATTGCCTCTGGCAGCCTCCCACTGGCAGTCACACTTTCTCTTACTGCACGTGGGTGGAAGGTGCAATAAGAAAATGGCCGGCAAGACTAACACCAAGTAAAATATACACAACATCAGCACCAGATCCAAACAAGCGTCCATTATACAGATGGCCTTCATATAATACGTCAATCATTGGAGGTTCCACCAAGGTAAATGCATAGACACGTGTTCTTATTCGCAGCGTCTTATTCAAGAGAGGTTCCGCTGTACATACGCAGGTATATACTGAAAACAGGCATACAGATAACCTGTTCTGGTGGTTGCAACCATGGTAATTCTGAGTAAAGGGCACCCAGCTTAAATGAGGGTAATTAAAATCTACTTAGTTATCACGAACAGTTACCCACGAAAGCAGTATGCACATTGTATATTGTAGACAGGTCTGGGCTGTATTGTATTGTAGCACTGTTGAGTCAACAATATTATGGTACACGGGAAACACGTGATATGGTAATAAAACGGTCTGTTAGTTTGGCTGTCTGCCGGTACACACATTGATACCTACACGGTGAAACTATCACCGTCCCACGCCCTTTAATGCCTTGCGCGGTGTGACAACACTCGTCCATGTGTGTGTGGGGGGCGAACTATCCAAGCCTGTCGTACATACATATAACTCTCTAAGACTAGGTTAACCATCGCACCATCACACACACATCGAGTGCTACAAAGCTTCTTCACGACGTTGCAACGCGGCACACGGTGGGTACATGGCACTTGTTGCACATGTGGTCATCGATATGTACATTCCTACAAAATTTCATGGCTTTATCTCTTTCGGTTTTTGAGTTATGCTGGTTGAAGAAGAAGAAGAAGAAGAAGAAGGAGAAGGAGGAGAAGATGAACAAAACTCCCTATCATAGCCCAATACATCTATAATGCTAGGTACCATGCCCATCCCTATACTAGGTTTTCTTCTTTTTCATGTAGTACAGTGTGATTGTGGGGCGAGGTACGTAGATATTCCTACATGAGTTAGGCAACTTTGAAAGTGGGCCCCACGTCTCGTCTTGTACCATTGCAAGAACGTTTCGAACACACTCAAAGGACAGAAAAAGATCAATCACAAGGTCACAATTTCCTGAGAGTAAAGTTTATCCAAGCTCTCCTTTACGAGTCTGATAATACCAGCGTAATGGAGAAATAAATAAGGTTTATCTCTTACGTGTAGTGTGTGTGTGAGTGTGTATGTGCAGGCAAGGGTGACCAACGGTAGTATAGTATTCACGCAGCCCTTCAGCATTCCTCAACTCTGTGTGTACGTCTTTGGTGCCTTTTGGCGCCACTAACTATGTAGGTACAGAGGTGTGTATGCAGGTAAGGGCGACAGTACAGGAGTAAGTTATTGTTCTGGACATTCCTGTTACAGGGTGTCTCAAGTGTGCGTATTTATACGTGCATGCAAGTGTCGTGCGTGTGCTGCATTGCCGTGTACCGATGACAGAATCCTTCGTGACGCAGCGCGACGGGCCAACGCAACGTATTGTGAACCTCCCTAGTTATCCCAGCTTCAAGATTGAGAAATGTCTCAAGTACGGTGCAAGCATCTGCATACAAACATGCTTAAAAACCTGCCCAATAATTAAGACAACTAGCTCGGCTCGATTTTGGTGCAAATGATAGACCACCTCTTTTATGGACCTACGCTGCCTACTGAGCTGTGTCAAAACTGTCATCATGTGTCAAAACTGTCATCATGTCACAAGCTGTGTCAAAACTGTCATTGTCTTGCAGTTGTAAGAACGTTCCACTGTAGACCTGCTGACAAAGACAAGCATTGTTCGGTCCCGAGAAAGTAGAGAGACAGTATTGTATGGCCGATAGGTTCACACTCCTCTGAGAACTATTGTAAAGTTCACTCCCAGTAGAGTAGTCTGAGCTACACGCTAGCATTGGTGCGTCGATATCTGAACCACATGTTGGCAATAGAGTTGTCTGGCACCGCCACATTTTGCAGATTTTACGGTTTCACAATTATAGATCGCCCCGCCCCCTCTTCCCCCTGCCTCCAAGCTGTATCTCTATGCCTCCAAATTGAATGTATTATGTGGGAGTTCTTATGTACTATTGATGGCTATAGTGTTGTGTGTGTGTGTGTGTGTGTGTGTGTGTGCACATACCGAGGTCTCCAAGATATAGCAGGCAGCGATATGCTGCGTCTTTCAGCCACTGAAAATCGGCATTGTTGGCATCCAATGCTGCACACAGAGAAACACAATAGCCTCACAGAGAAAATATCTTCACACGGTACAATTGAACAGTCCAACAGAGAAATCTTCACGCAAACACAATTGAATGAAACAATAGCCCGACAGATAAATCTTCACGCAAACACAATTGAATGAAACATTAGCCCGACAGATAAATCTTCACGCAAACACGCACTTGAACAACACAATAGCCCGACAGAGTAAAACCTTCACACAAGTCCACAAAACGGAACAATGGAAGCCATCGTGTATGAGAGAATAGATGTTCACATCTGATGTTGGGAAAACCTAGGGTTTTTGTATGGACAACGTGAAGGTGTATATACAGTACACAATACAGGTGTGGACAAAGGTTGACGACTCTTAAAAGAGAGTGGAGGTGTAAGGAGGGAGGGAGGAATAGGGGAGCTGATGTAAAGTGTGGGAAATCTCAGAACAAGTTGACTCGTAGCAAAAGCCTAAACTTGTGAGCTCTAACAGAGTTCTCCCCCACGAAATTGCAACAGTGTTAAGTATCGTCTAACTGCTGAATGTCTAAGCCTCTCTATACACGTATATAGTCAATGCAACATTGATTGTGTCCTTTTTAGCAACTCTGAAATCAGGACACCACGTTGAGCATATCCGGTCAGCTGGTCAGTATAATGTATCCCCCATACCCTCCACAAGACTCCCACAACATAAAGTATACGTAATCTTATACCACTGAACACAAGGTGGGGAAATAATACATCTCCTCAGCTGAACTAGTGTTTCCCTCTCCCCTTCTTCTTGTTCTTGTCACCTACTAGTATGCCCGTGCAGCTGGGCCAGCGGCTCACGGGTACCTAGGTGTGAAATGGGACCTACTTTTGTTGGGCCGACTTTGCTATCTTACTGCATTCCTATCGCACCCAGGAATCCAATGCTAAAGAGCCATGTGTAATGTCTATACTGCGTTCACAGCCAGTGGAGCATGATTGGAGAGGTATGAAGTGGAGCTAATAAGTGGCTTCCACTGAAGTAATGGAGGCAGCCTAAAGCCCTGTATTAATTTTTCACTGAAATTGCAGAAATCTTTGCCTAAGAATGCTCATAAACTTGCATATTATTATTACAACACTGTATCAATTCATGTGTAGTGTTCAAGTGACACCAAAATGGTGGTTCCATATCATGGGAGCCATTGTTTATGTTTTGGTGAAATAAAGCCATCCGGTTGGTGGTGATCAATGATGCCACTTCTCCTCACAAAGTGGGTGTCACATGACATGTAGACATTCGTGTCACGGACACTTGATCACGGTGTTAGGATATACTCACTCCTAATCAGATCCAAATTTAAATACGCGTTTACGCAGGTAGTGATATATTGTATATATCATCATTACATAATGCAAGTTTGAATTTTATTACACTCGGTGCTCTTTACCATTTTAAAAATGGCCAAACCTACTAAATATTTGCGGGTCGCCCTGAAATTTTTCCAATGTAAAGTTTCTCGCGTTACGATACAGTTGCCCCACAGAATTCGAACTGATGAAGGCTGCTGTCCAACAGCTGAAACGTAATGTTTTCTTCCTGGATAGTTGGCGAGTGAAGCGAGCCTACCTAGTCGTCTGAAGGCAGGGATTTTATATACAATATTATCTATTTATATGGCGGGCACAGCACATAATGTAATGTTGTACATGATTATAAATACGTGCGGAAAACTCAACTGCTCGGCACTCGCTCGCAAAAGTGTGTGGTATTCAATTCGTTCAGGTTCAATAGCTATATACTTGCTTATGCGATACCCTAGCCGACCAGGTAAGAACTGTTATATAGTGTTCTCTAAATCTATTCGAGGAAAGAGGATGCCAGCCCATCTGTGATGTATTCTCGCCACCCTCTGTCAAGCAGTCAAGTCAACATACTCAACATAGTCTTGCTACGTCTTAGCTGAGTTCTTTCTTTAGCATGGACTATATAGGGCAAGGCTTTTCCCAAGAATTACGTATTTACGTAGCTCGTTCACTGTCACTTTGACAGTAGTTTGTGGTGCTTAGGTTTTCTACAGTAAGGAAAGAGGTTTGTGTATATATTAAGGATAGAGGATAGAATGTCTCTTAGAACACAAGTATAGTTCATAATAAGGATAGAAGGTCTCTTAGCACACAAGTATAGTTCGTAATAAGGATAGAAGGTCTCTTAGAACACAAGTATAGTTCGTAATAAGGATAGAATGTCTCTTAGAACACAAGTATAGTTCGTAATAAGGATAGAAGGTCTCTTAGCACATAAGTATAGTTCATAATAAGGATAGAATGTCTCTTAGAACACAAGTATAGTTCGTAATAAGGATAGAATGTCTCTTAGAACACAAGTATAGTTCGTAATAAGGATAGAATGTCTCTTAGAACACAAGTATAGTTCATAATAAGGATAGAATGTCTCTTAGAACACAAGTATAGTTCGTAATAAGGATAGAATGTCTCTTAGAACACAAGTATAGTTCGTAATAAGGATAGAAGGTCTCTTAGAACACAAGTATAGTTCGGATGAATCTACGATAGGAAGGTCTCTTAGAACACAAGTATAGTTCATAATAAGGATAGAAGTCTCTTAGAACAAGTATAGTTCATAATAAGGATAGAAGGTCTCTTAGAACACAAGTATAGTTCGTAATAAGGATAGAATGTCTCTTAGAACACAAGTATAGTTCGTAATAAGGATAGAATGTCTCTTAGAACACAAGTATAGTTCGTAATAAGGATAGAATGTCTCTTAGCACACAAGTATAGTTCGTAATAAGGATAGAAGGTCTCTTAGAACACAAGTATAGTTCGTAATAAGGATAGAAGGTCTCTTAGAACACAAGTATAGTTCATAATAAGGATAGAAGGTCTCTTAGAACACAAGTATAGTTCATAATAAGGATAGAAGGTCTCTTAGAACACAAGTATAGTTCGTAATAAGGATAGAAGGTCTCTTAGAACACAAGTATAGTTCATAATAAGGATAGAAGGTCTCTTAGCACACAAGTATAGTTCATAATAAGGATAGAAGGTCTCTTAGACACAAGTATAGTTCGTAATAAGGATAGAAGGTCTCTTAGAACACAAGTATAGTTCGTAATAAAAAGCTGAGAATTTACTGTAGCTTTGTAGCCACAGCAGGCAACAACTGGCGGCAGTATTAAAGCAAAAAGGTAAGAGCCGTTTTTGTCTGGGAACGTTAGTACAGTTCGACTTATTGACAAAAACGCATATATTTTCTCTTTCTCTTACGCCACTCATCTAACTATCTGAACCGCTACATAATCGCTTCTGCGTGGGCGTCCAGTTAAATCCAGAGACATTTACTCACGCTGTGAATGCACAGGAGCATGCAGCCAGGGACAGCGAGGTGGGATCCCACTTTTATTGTGGCAGGGCAGAGATGGTATATTGTGGCAGGGTGTAGCAAGATGTGTGGGTAATACTGCTATTACAGCAAGGTGGTACAGCAGTAGCAAGGTGGGAAGCTGTAACTAACCTCAATTAGAAAACTGGGCAAATGGTGACTGGGTCAGGGCAGAGACTTAGCAAACTATCATTACATGGAGTCACCCCCACTCACCCCCACATGTACACCTGCACATCTGTGGGGTGATAGGCCTTACAATACAACCACGAATCTTGGCAATAGCAAGTATGTACGTATGTATGTATCCTAGTCATATTATATGTGCAGATTTTGAGAGGAATTTTAGAGGACTGAAGAAACTGGATGGAATATTTAAGGGTGTGCTGACTTAAAAAATTCATAAGTTCAAGAATATTGATTACGAAACTGTAGATACATATGTATGTGTGAGAGGAAAATTTTGAGGAAGAAAAAAATTTTGGTTTTAATCACCAGGAAAGATATTTTTCCAGAGATGGGGTCAAACTGTACACTATGCACAATGATATACGCTGAAGGAAGAAAGGTGCAGAAAGAAGAAGCAAAGAAGAAACTAGTTCTACCAACAAAAACAAAATGTGAAACAAAATGTGACAATTGTCAAACCAAAATTATATGTTGCCAAGTGTGCATATTATAAAGCACACAAACAAAATATACAGCAAACAAACAGAAAAACAAACACAAAAAAACACGTGACCAAGAGTGTGTGCCATACCAATGAGTTGGGAATGGTCCATGGAAGTAACAGGCAGACTATAATGCTCCTCTAGTCTGCCGAGCAGCTGCGTGTAGAAACCGGTTGCCATCGAGAGGTGTTCGCTGTACGCATGATAGAGATGACTGGAACCGTCGAGTGCCTGAGGGTGTATACACGACACATAGACATCACACCTGCCTTTCTTCTTAGTAGCAACACATGGCTATATCCGGTATATACACCCTCGTCTTTCAATTTGTTACCTTCTCGGAATAATTATATAACCCCCGAATGGGATGGAGTTTTGTGCATGCATGCTGACTGGCTACTTCCATTGTGTGACATTCACTTGCAGACCTGCATAAGGCCACTGGATATTATAACACTCGCAGACCTGCATGAGGCCACTGGACATTATAACACTCGCAGACCTGCATAGGCCACTGGACATTATAACACTCGCAGACCTGCATAAGGCCACTATGCATAGGCTGAAAATTCAACCCCACACACACACTATAACAACAGAGAGTATGCGGCAGATAGCACATCCTGTTCCCGCTAGTTGGTGAGCTATCCGCATAGCTACTGTTGTGACCTGTCTCTAAGATATTAAGGAAGTGTGTGCACCAATACTATTCAGCAGAGGCCTGATAGTATAGTATTTTCCCATCAACGCTACGGTTCAGCAGGAATTTGCCAAGTTTATATCACCTTCTAAAACAGTGAACACAGACACCATAATGCCATAGTTCAAACAGCCTTTGGTTGCCTTGCTTCGTGCACAATGTGTATATATACACATAATACTACGTATGGACACACACTATCATAGGGAGCAAGCAAAGAGTTGGAATGACGTATTAACCTTTGATATACTCTTCTTCCGTGTATGAAACCACACACAATAAGACATACAGACATACCTAGAGAACACAATACTTTGCAGCACTAGGGGGCTGCACGATGTGCAAAAGCTCATTACACACAAAAGCCTGGAACGCGGGTGCAACTATATATTATACAACAAAAGCTGGACAGGTCTTATTGCACGTGTCGACACACACAACGGGGTTGTAGGTCTGACACATAACCCATTCATGGGAAGAGACTCTACACTGAGTTTGTACAGAACACGAAGCCAGACAAAAGGTGCAGAGGGTGGCAACTCAGGATCTGGGGATGCTATGCACACACAATTAGTGTATGAACACACCACCAGCAGCTATCACTAGAAGGTGGCCTCTGGTTTATGTAGCTGAGGACCCAGTAGTGCCTCTCAAGAGCCCACTCGACTTGCGGCCCTTTGTTGGGGGGAGGTGGGCTGGGCACCCAACGGGTTGGGGTGGCATGTGAGAGTATGGAGGCTGCCCTCAGCGAGTCTTAGAGCAAAGTGGGCACAAGTGGTTCTTGTACACAAACCCAAGGGTAGGTAGCAATAGCGAAGCCACGGTGCTGTACGACACAAACAGTCAGTACACACACACAAAGTCTGTACAACATTTGAACGGTGACAGTACGCACAGCATTCTGTAAAGGCTCCCAGAATTGGTCATACATTATAGAGTGTTGGGACAAACTAACAGAGAGGGTGTCTATCGGCTCAAAGAATGCCTCATCTGATACTAGGGCAGTCCCAAACATACCCGGCCAGTGTATGAGAAAACAATCAGTGTACGCCAACCCTCTTCCCTTCGCTATCTGGCACCAGCCACCTGGGACCTGTCACGCATGAGCACTTATCTTGCATCTGGCCTGGCCCACTGACAAGGCAGCTAACACAGCTTTATCTGCTGCCATCTTCCCTGGTACCGACACTCATTGTGCCTGCTCAAATCTCACCATAATCTAACCCTTTCCTGACTCTTCCTAGTATAAATTTGTGGTAGGCTATGGGTATGGCCAAAGGACACTCACAACTCCTCCGACAGCTCTAGATTTGGAATGGTTCCCTGGATACACTGACTTGCTATCTGCGGTTTGCCTGGGCCTGCCCTGTGTAGCATCGTGGCTCCTGCCTTGACATCTGGCCTTACCACTGGAAGTTCACCTCTGCAGCCCAGCCACGTGTGCCCTGACAAAATCCCGAGCTGGCTAGGTGCACGGGGGAGCAAGAGAAACGGTAGCCGACACTATATTCCAGCCGAGTTTTTCCAGAGACTCTTGAGGAGATTTATCGTGAAATGTGAGCAAAAAATAATACTTGCTACAATCTGATGTGGACAACAATGGGACATACAAAGAAGACAAAGGACTTATCAGAAACATTGTGCAGTTGATTAGGCCCAGCATAATGGATACCTCTCCACACCTACTTAGTGCTCTATCATAATCGGCTAAGGGCTTGGCTCTTGCATGGCTGCAGTGAAGGAGAGGTACAATGGGGCACCAGTTGTGTTGAGCTGGCCACAGTTTAGACATGAGACACTGGCCCTGGCTTTGTGGGACAACAATTGGCAACTGGGAACATCCAGTAACCATTACAGAACAAATTGGGCAGTATACACACAACACTGGTACAGCTGAGGCTCATGACCTATAACTGTTTGGCTGTGGCCCAGGGGTTGTGTATATTATATACATCAGCTTGTAGCCTGGTGATCTTGTGGGGAGCTCCCCGAGTATAATACAGTATAAACTGGGTTTTAGTTCAAGAGTAAGGAAATTGCTAACTGCAACATTTGGCTAAGCATACTATTAATGTACAATGCTAGTATGTGGGTGCGTGGTGCATAATCGCATTTTACGAATCACAATGGTCTAAAACCACATTGAAAGCAGCACGTTGACTGGACATCCAGAGTAACATTCAGTTACTGTCTTTACATACAAAAAAACTGACTTCGATGGAAAATGTTTTATTCTCCGTGGGCATATGGTGTGTTTTCACAGCATGCCAGCCTACTTTCTCACAGTGAGTGACTGCATAGCATACGAAGTACCAACAGATTGGCTTTCTACATCAGCCGATTGTGGCAAAGCTGTGGTAAGCACACACACTTCCCACTACTGAGGACTGCCGTATCTAGCAGGAATCACATCACTACATGCATATACAGACACACGTGGTACCATAAGTCACAATATACATATACATACGACTACTCTGGCTTGGTGGGCATTTGCTCCTTCTTCAGCTCCCTTTACAAATCCCTTTACAAACATGGGTGGTTTTCATGTCCCCTGTCGCATTGTGGGGGAGTTTGCTGGCCGGTACCAGCTATATATACAGCTTGAATCCCTTTACAAACGATACATAATGTACTTGTGTACTATGTTGCTGTACTTGTTTGTTGGATTTGCTTCTCTGCGTCAGTTCGTAAAACCCTTTCTTCCACAGCAGCTCTTCTGCCTTTCTCCGATATGAGCACGAGAGCAGAAGTATCTGAACACATTTCTCTCTCAGCCTACATCGTAGATATAATCCACATCCATATGATGTCTACGTGTATCGAGCGAAAGGTGTATATACACACGCCAGAAATAAACCTCTAAAATTTGCTAGTAGCATGGCTAAATGGTAAAATGACAGCATATTGTGCGTCTTGCCACGTACAAATTGGTTGAGCAAAGTGTGACATTTCGTAAGTGGACAGGACATCCCACACACACGTTTTCACACACTACAAAAGCCGTCAGCAGATTTGCCAGTCGTTTTAATAACTGAAAGAATCACAAATTATATAAGAGGAAATGAGGTCCTTACATGGTTGTGTGTTATATAGTTGTGATCAAATATCCTTCAGTGACAGTGCAATGTAGTGATCAACTCACTTTCTCCGCGTCTCTCGAAGTTTAGGGCTGTAGAGGTCAATTGTGTGACTGGTAGCACGAGATTCAGTCTCGATACACTGGGAATATGCCCAGGCTTGTCTGTAGCGTGCAAATGAATGCATACGAATGACATGAGAGAGAGAGAGAGAGAGAGAGTGAGATAATTGTGAGTCTGCAGGGGAAAGTAGGATAAGGGAGTGAGTGTGTGTGTGTGTGCTTGTGCTATTGCATAATCGCTCGGGCTACGCCCTCGGGATCACGCAATATTACTTTGCGCATATACGTGGAAGACAGGAAACTAGCCACAGGCACCAAGGCATTGACAACAAAGCCATCAATTTGAAACCTCATATGTATAGTGAACACTCCAAATAAAGGACATTAATGTAGATCTGGTGCTAACATTTCAGTGTATTTTTAACCTCTGAATAAAAGGCTTTTTATAAAGGTTCCAGAGTGTATATACTTTATTTTGGAGGCTCCACTGTACACATTACGTTGGTTGGCAATAGACTGCGTTTGTAATGGCACAGTCTTTTCTTACTTGAAGTAGTGTTTGCCAATGGCTTCTGGTGACCCACTGCCTGCCGACAGCTCAGAACCAGATTTTGGATGGGCCATAATGTTCATCTGTTGAATAAGGTAGGGTAGAGAGGCCATTGAATCCAACAACGCTTTTAATGGCGAGCGAACATGCATTGGAATATTATTTTAAAGTGCTGTCTACGATAAAGAAAAATCGTGCAAAATTCAGACAACTATGTGCACTCCCTTCACTCGCTAATTAAGTGACACATGCCTGAAGCTGGATTGGATACAGATTTGGGTCCAAAAATGCATAGTTATTAGCATCAATGCTCCCCAATCACTGCGTTGCGATGCGACGCGCGCGCAGGCGAGCGCTCTAGAAACGTGCAGCACGGCGCGCGACGACGACGTCAATTATCGTGAGAATCCAGTGGCATTCCATGTGTGAGAGGTGATTCTGCACTAGCGAGGAATGTGACCGCTAGGAATGCCGATTATCTTCCGGAAGGACTATAAAATCGACAGCTCTGAGGCAGTTCGCCACACTATCCGCCGAGGAGACCCGCCGAACTAGGCGATGCTGGCGGAGAAGCAGTTACCGGCGAAGAAAGGACCTGGAGTCTTCGCGATGCCGATAAAAACTCATGTTCGCGTCAGCAGCAGAAGACCCACGCCGGCGGTGGAACGCCGCCACCCGCAAACTACGCGGGACGTCCGGCTAGAAGCAGTAGCCTTGACGCGGAGCACTTTATCTCAGACCCACGGCTCGTCAACTCGATCAATGAGCCGTGACTGGCCGCTTCACGGATGGATGCACGTCGACGAGCCTAGAAAAGACCCCCTGCCTGGCAGTGCGGATCAAAGTGATCGGGTTGCCGTCTGAGCGCCGCGGCCACAGCAAGGCTCTGCTCACGCGGTAGTCCGTTCACTTCGATACGCGTCGCCATTTGGCAGCGCGGACTTACACATCTCTCCTTCTGTTCCTCCCACGCCCCCAACCTTCGTCCATTGTGGATTTTCGGCTGAAGTGAGTGTTGGGCTCTGTTTAGCTCTCTTACAGTAAACTGTAGATACGTGTATAGCAGTACCAAGGTCCATTTCTTGCTGACAACTCTTATCTGCACCACAACTACCTCACCCAATCTACCTTGCATTTGTGTGCACCTTTTTGTACATCACATCCAAGTTTGTGTGGCCAACATGCCTTGTACCACTGCCCAGTGGCACTTTTAGCGGCACACCTGAAGTGCTGATTGGAATGCCAGTAGCCTTTGACAGCAACAAGACTGCTAAGCTCCTGAAAACATCTGGAGGATCCCTACAATATGTGTCATGGCTCACCAATACAATAAAGTGTTGAAACAGAATGCCTTTCATACACCACACAAGCACACAGCACTTTGCTGTCCAGGCATCTCAATTGCCGTGTTCATCCTACAAGTCCAAGTGGGCAGGTCTGGTGGCAACAGTGTAGGAGTTGCTCCTCAGAGAGTTTATATAGAGCTGACCAGCGGGCAGCCCCCACTACCCACTCTTGTTACATCTCTTTTACATCTTGGCATAGGCATAGGCCCTGTCAGGGGAGAGATCACGGAAAGCCAAAGTGTCTGTGTTTGTTGTTCTGGGGAAGAAGGACGAAACTGTTAGGTTGCTGTGACTGGGTACCACGTGCAGAGATGGGTCAATAGTGTTGGCAAATTTGCCAGTCTTTGGAGTAATAATAAAAGTTGGACTCCTCGAGGCAGTGGTTAATGCAATTGGCCACGGAAAGTCCTGAAGGCTACACAACCAAGTGTACACATGCAACCTGGCTGGAGAGGATCATTATAGCAGTAGCTCAGACATGCTAGGTGTCTGCCTCCGTTACTCACAGAAAAAGTGTTCATGATAGGGCAGCGTTTTATTTTATTATCCTCGCGTCTTCTCTATGATTCGTGGAGGAAGTAGTCAATCAATCCACACACACTGGGAAATTGGGAATCCTTACACCATCGCCTCCGTACATTCCTGTGAACCTCGGATATCGTACAGCTAATAACTTCTGAGGTAACAAAAATGGAACCACTTTCTCTGAGGACAAGAAGAGTTTTTATGTTATGGATGAGGACCATTTGTACAGCTCGTATTGGTACAGATTCACAAGTTCTCTCCCGGCATTATATTCCCACTGTATACAGACACACAAAAGCTATATACTGCCTGACATGTTAGGCAGAAAGTGACACTGTGCCCAGCAAATAGCATTCCATCTCGGTGAGCCAAGACACCTAGAAAAGATGTTTCCACTCTCAACCCAGGCCACATGAAAGCCTTGAAGACCACTCGGGCTACACACAGACAAGAGAAGGGGAGCGGTGCGAAAATAGCTCCAGGCACCAATCCAACGCATGATTTACCAAAGCAAATACTTGGGATTCCGATAGTACTGTATAAAGGGAGACTTTAGGGGGGAAAGTGTGTAATGTTTAGAAGGAATGTTTGGTCAACACGAGCGAGAAACTTCTGAAGATTTATGAGAAAAGCGCCTGATAAACCAATGGTTATTATAATATAAATTCAGACAACTAGGTATAGGCTCACTTCGCTAGCCACCAAAAAACACTAAACAGGGTTATGACGGTGCAATAAGTCTGCAGAAGCTCTTCTACCAAACACAAGCAGAAAGCCATTAGTGCAAGTGCAAGGGCACCTGGAACAGGGAGAGACAGATAGGTTCATAGTACAAACTCCCTTGGTCTTATGAGCTGCACAAAGCCTCTAGTTATCAATATGCAGGCCATATGTTTTCCTACAGCTAAGTATATACCTGTCACACCTGCTCTTTGGTTCGTAATTGGTGCGGGAATTCAGTGAAAATACAGAAAAAGACAGTGGTGTACAATATGTTTTTCAGTACAATGCACCAAGATCATTACACAATGGTTATTTGATTGACTAGTATTGGCAAATACGTACAATGGCTACCTAATCCCATAATCAGCTAGTTGGCTTGGTGACGCGCACGTTGTCATTGTAAACAGCCACCAGTAAGGCTGGCCAAAAGTATGTGTTTGGTTGTATATCTGTATATTGTGCGGCTCTCCCCTTGTCTCCAACATTCTTAGTGCATACCACCGAATATACGCTATCGATAGCCGCTTACCGACGAGACGTGCATGTCATAAAACATACCTGGATAGTTATGAATCAGTAGAAGACTCTAGTCTCCTTCAAGGGATCGTAGAAAGTTGGAGCCGAGGCGGCTAACCGAGCGTGGTGCGCTCCATTTGGGACACGTGGTTGACCTTTGACCTATAAAATGCTTCCACTGGCAGCGTCGTTTAGACTTTTCGTCGGCCACAGAATTGCCAGTCACCAGCACCCGCTTCTACCTGTGTTCTGCGCCAGAAACTATGGTGTGTGCTTTCATCTTTACAAGTTATATTTCAGTAGTAATGCATGCATGCCCGGGCCCCACAGCCACTAAGAAAAAGAAGAGTCAGACCTCTGCTGTCAATATCGAAAAGCTCCTCTAAACATGGACGTGTGCCTGGGTGCAAACTATTACAAGACTGGGGAGGACCCTGTGATTAGACTGGAGGGGGAATACCCAGAATGGCTACGGAATCTGGATCCAGACAAGCAAATGGATGTGGACCCTGACTCTAAGCAGTACTGGAGGAGGATAAGAAAGAAAGAGGCACACAGAGTCATAGCCACTCTCAGAGAAAGACACTGAATCTCATAATTATTCTGTCATTTCTTTATTGCGCATGCGCGGTTACTCTAGGAGATGCTGCGCATTATATGGAAGTTCACTCTTTTATGGTCTATGGATCTCTCTCAGTTGAGTGTCAAGCGTCAGTTGAAGAGGGCCAAGCTGTTCGAGGTACAGAAAATCGTCAGGCAGATTCGTATTCATCAAAACAAAAAGTAAGGATGAGTTGCTTGCCGCTTGGCATAGTGAGGCTTTTCCTGCATCCTGCGCACGTGATCCGCCAGAGGGACAGATGCTCAGTTGCAGAAGAGTAAGAGGAAGGTTAAAAGACTTGAAGATGTCCTAGATGCCCTCAAAGTCAGTCTCTACTCGGTATTTGATTGAGTAAAATTGAGACTAATGGTGTATCTTGTCAGGACCTTGATCTTGGCAGCCTGGCTCAGGAGCTGTGTCTGAGTCTACAGGAAAGCTGCGAGCTTCCCAGCTGCAGGGGACTGTGGAGAGCAAGTGAGCCTTTTTTTGTAATTCGTACCCTATGGACTGTTGCAAATTGGGGAGGGGTGGCTAAGTGTGACTTTAAATTTGGGGAGGCATGTGTTTTTAAATGTCGCCATTATTAATTTGAAGCTTAGTTTAGAAGGATCTATTGTATCTCATGTGTATGTGGTGCTACCAGCCTTGCACATACACTACACTTTGCTTCATTCATCTCTGACTTGGTCCTATATACTATTCTCAACATACATACACTTTTTAGATTACATAATAGGTTTGTTCTTAGTCTCTACGTCATTGAGTAAGAGTGAAACGTTGAGTAAATGTGGTGATTTCCTCTGTTAGGTGTTCAGTGGTTCTTGCTCGGATAGAGCAAAGCACAGACTCTTAACAAATAAGACATTTCGGAGGAATATTAGCAGACTCTGTGACTCGAGCAGACCGAGGCCGAGTGACGCTTCACACAACAAACATAGTGACACACGACAGGAAGAGATGGATACTGCAATGAGAGGGAGTGAAGACCGTGACAGTAGGAGTGAGTCCAGTGAAGATAGTGACAGTAGCGACAATAAGGAGACCTCAACAATGGATGGAGCAGTGCTGATACAGGGCAGGGACACTTGTGCGGGCAGCGATGCTTCAGAAACTGAGTCGGAAACTAAGCCGGAGGTAGAGATTAGCTCTGGACAAGATACCAGTGAAGATTCGTCAGATATACAGGGTAGAGTTGTGACTAGTACAGCAGTGGGAAGAAAAGGCAACTGAGTGTGCTGGAAAGGAAACAGGGAGGGAGGGGGAGAAGAAGGAAGGTGGATGTGGAGAGGCAGAAGTCTCCACCGGCTGGTGATGGTGGGGCGTGTGGGGTCCAGGAGGAGTCTGGAGTCATCATTTGTGGGGACACTCTCGGTATGTTCTTACTCTCTAAAATCACCAAAGGTTAGCTCATTTTTGACCTCTGTAATGCACCAGACGGTCAACAGTACAGCTGGATTCTTTTGAGGGAAGAAAACTTGCGCATATATACTTTTTGAGGTTTAGGCCAAACATAAAATTGTTTTCCACAGATTTTGTTGACATTGACCTGGTTGTTCTTTTTCAGAGGTTGAAGAGTAACAGACCTGGTCAACGGACAAGGCAAAAGTAAGGCCGCACAGTTTGCGTAGTGTGACTATTTTCACTTTTTCCTCCACTTCAGGAAATGGGAGGTAGTGTTTGGAGAAAAGGCCAAACATTTAGCAGCGAGCAAGAAACGACGGAAGATCAGAACAGATACAGGTAAGCTGTACGTATATACTTACACAATTCGAGGGTCGTGCAGTGTTTCTCAATGGTCAGCACGCATGGTGAAATTGATGTTGCATTTTCCCCAGGAAAGGAAAAGGCGGCCAAGAGTACTAAGCATTTAGTTTCAAGAAGGAAAGTTAAAAAGGCTACATCCAGTGGAGAAACCCAACTGCATCCATCCTGGGAGGCCCGGAGAAGAAAGAAGGCCATGGAAACTGGGATTCACCATTTTCAGGGACAAAAAACAGTCTTCTCGGATTAGCCTGTGTTTTGTCTGGTCACTACCCCTTTTCGTGCCTCTGTGTAAAAATTACGACGTGTCCGGAAATTTTTTTCGGTCACCGTTTCCAACAAACGCCCACCGACGCGACGCGACCGGAAAACCGTGTAAGGGTTGACCGGTAACATGGCCGTCGCTGTCTGAGTGCAGTTGCCCTGCTTCGGTGTCCGGGATATCGAACGATACTAGAAACTCGCAGAATGATTTCGAGGTAAGACTTTCTCGAATGGCGTCGCGAGCGGTAGGAAACCAGTTTACACCGGTGGCCGAAAAACGTGGCCGGTTAGGGGCAGCGTCCTGCGCATGTGCAATGGCAAGAGCGGTTCCAGAGCGAGCGCGCGCTTGCATGCAGAATAAAGGGTGGGGCTTGCTAGCGTATCCCTCTTTGCAGCACCCCCGAGAAGTCAGCTTCTGACTTTTCCCTTCTTGCTGAAGACGAGGCCAACAGAACGGAGCTGCAGTTCAGCCCAAGTACAGATATTTCAAGTCAGGAACACGCGAGCGATTCCCAGACAACAAACAGCAGGAGGCCGAAACATGCGCGGACTCCTCGTCAACCGGGAAATATAGACTCCTTCCAGAAGGAGATTGAGAAGTGGGAAGAGTTTTACGACGACATGAAGACGTACCTCACAGATGGCTCCCTGACCCCAAGGAACCGTGCCGGCATCCTCAGACAGGCGGACGCCTTTTTTCTCGGTCTAGACGGTGGGATGTTTTTCACGAAGACGCTGCGGGACGGGACGCTGACGCTGAAACTCCCGGTGGTACGGAGCTACGAGGAGAGAATGGAGGTGTGCAAACGTATCCACGTGAGCACAGGGGAGGAGGGCATTCATCATCGCAGAGATACCATGTTGGAGCTCCTGGGGCAGCAGTACTACTGGAGGGGACAACGCAGGGATGTCTGTCAGTGTGTAAGTATATACATCTCACTACTTTATGAATGCATACAGTTGAAATCGAAGCTTACACACACTGTTATCGGCACTTTGTTGCAAAGAGAGTAAGAAAGTTTGAAGAATGGTAAATGGGAGAAAGGGTGGGTGAAGTTTAGCCTGTAAGTTTATTGTGGTATTGTATGCTAGATTGCCTCATGTGAGATGTGTTCCATTGGACTGGGAGGAAAGAGACGGTCCAAGCCGCCGAGCCAGAAACGGGATATCCGTCCAGGTAGCAAGCTGCCCCGAATTGAATCCCCACCTCCTCTTCCACCCTGCAGCAGAGCCAGCTACACTCCTCCCCCTTTCTCCTCTCTCCCCTCCCTCACCCCTCCCCACACCACGCCCCCTGTCACTGTTCCGAGCACAAACTCTCAGGAAACACGTTTTGTACTTTCAAAGCTCTCCCACTTTCAATGTTTCCTCTCACAACCAGAATTCCCTCCTCCCACTCAGTGGAGGTGTGGCCTTCTCCCCTCCTTCTAACTCCCTCAGCGTCACCAACTCTCCAGTCTTCTTGCAAACCACTGAAATTGCACAAACTCGCTCTGCCTCAACTCCTTTAATAGCCGCCACCCAAAAAGACGTGGTAGTGCGAGGATCTGCTACCGCTACACTCCACAAATCAGGCAAGAAACCCCGCGCCCTTCCCGTCACTTTAAACTCTGCTGTAGCACTAGTCGATCCACTGGCCAATCTTTACACAATTGCAGAGGCCTGTCTCCTGAATAGCCCCGAGATCACTGCCTCCTCATCCACCGTGCTTCCCCAGCCTTCAAGAGCTAACCCAGAGATGAGCGTAGCCTCAGAGGTGACAGTTTCCGACAGCAGTGGGCTACAGATATTCACCACTATCAATGAGCCTTACTTTGAGAGTCACAAGGAAACAGCTAGCAGTGGGCCACAATCGGTTTCAGCAGTGGCTGTTGATCAACAAACAGCTGTAGGTGTGACTGAAACTATAGTTTCTGGAGAAGTGGAGGAGCAGTATGTTGTTCAAGGAAGCAGCAGCCCATGTGGGCAAACAGCAGTGGAGCCGTCCATATACCAGCTACTGTTTCAGCTACCGTCTGTGCCCAACTCCACCCTCTGTACTGCTGTGGTATGTTTAAACATAGCATGTTGTAGGGAAGAATTGCGTGACCTAAAGTTTTCGTACTTTTTGTAAGCAAAATGGGTGCAGCAGTGGACAACAATCAATTCTGAATATCTTTACTATAACCGAAGAGTGCAGTTATAGTTTTAATGTCGTGTAATGCAAACTGCCGTCAGAGTTTTAACATGGGGTGGCCTAAGTTTTCATACTTTTTGTAAGCACGTGGGGATAGCAGCGACACACCAATAAACTATGTTGCATATCTTGACTATGACTGGAGAATGCAGCGATATTTACCTCTTTGTAAACCATAAAGATTTGTGACCGTAATGCTGTTCACATGAGGGTGACCTGCGGTTTTTGTAACTTCCAAACTAGTCTTCTGCAGTTTCATGGAGGCCGATAGTGTATGAGGACCTACATAATAATGTATTTCACCAATTCTGTCTGGTTTGTGTGTCTCTCCAGATAGAGTCGATGCAGATGGCTCTAAAGAACACGGCAGATCCCTGCCAGCTGTCCCAGATTGCCGGGCAGTCCCTCTCCTCAGTCTTTGCCCTCCCTTCCTCCACCTCGCTAGCCGTGGTCTGCCCCAGCCGCGGTGCAGCCTACCTCACCTCTCTCTCCTCCATACTCGCACACCAGGGCCTTCTCAACCCTAGATTACCCACTGGAACCACTCCAATTGTTCTGCACGATACAATATGTGAAAACGGCTCCCCAAGTGTATTTTCATCGTTTCTCGGAGCCAGCAACTGGAATCTTGGGACACACACAGTACCTATGGACAGGGAAATATTGCAGGCTACTGTTAGTAGCAATAGAGTGGCTGCTGTGTTGTACAGACCGTTGGCGTATCCCCCAAACACCAGTTTTCTCTGTCTTCGAGACATTCATTCCGTCTGCAATCCTCATGGCGTTTCGATCATCTTGGACTGCTCCATTGCCGCCGGTGACACACTCCCTCACCTGAGAGGCACCATTAAGAAGATGCTGACGACAGGGGCGGACCTAATCATGCTGCCAAACACCGAACACTTCCAGGGGCCGGCCCACACCTGTGTTGTGATAGGCCGGACCAGTCTACTGACTGGGTGCTGGGAGAGGCTCTCGCTGCTCCAGCCCAGCCTGCCTCTACCGCTGTTCTGCTCTGCCTATGACACAGTCGGCAGCGTCGTGGCTTTCAAATCACTGCAGGTCTCGGGGATCGAGTCTGAGCCAATAAATTAAGAGTTTTGCTGTTGAATCATGTTATTATTATAATGTCCGCCCATTGCTCTGGGTGTGTGGTCGATGGGCAAAGTTCTATGGCTGTCAACCGAGTATTTTATATGGTGTTTTAATCAATCCTCTTTGGCATCAAACTTTTAATGTGTCTTAGCTATATCCAACATTTAGGTTGTTAATTTACACAAAAGACGTGTGGCGTAATGTAGAATTCCAACCAGTCTTTCAAACACTTGACATTCCAACCAAGTGCAGTACGATGATTTTGGTCACATCCTAACGTCATCGAAAGGTCACAGTTACTATACTTTAGACTTTAGATATGCTAGCTAGTGTGTTGTATCTTGTTGGTAACACTGTCTACTGTTTGATGGGCTTGCTGCGTGTTGTGGCAGAAAAATGTGGACAGCCAGGCAGACGGTAAAACATGCACGTATCACACAGACAAAAGTAACCGACAGCACTCAATCCCATAAAAATACACAGAAACCAACGTAAAACAGCATAGAAAACAACTTAAAAGTGCAAAGAAACAAAAAAAATAAGCTTCATATAATAATATCATAAATCATCAGTGCTTGCGTCGGCGTCCTCTTTTGGGGTGATGTATGTTCTGGTAGGGAGTTCCGGTGTCGGGCGCGGCAGGCTGCGGCTCGCTGTGACCGACGTTCTTGTAGGGCGGGTGCGGGTGGTGTCCGTTGTGAGTCTTCTCCTTCCTCTGCTGGCTGACAGGAACGTTTGCGTACAAGTCTCCTCCGTCTTGAGACATGTCTCCGAACGCCGTGTTCTCGTACACGTCCTGCCCACCGACGTCTAGTTCAGGGTCAGAGGTCACAGACGAGGGGGTATCTCCCAACGAGGGGGTGTGTCCTGATGGTTTAGTGTTTGGGGGAGTCGGGGGCAACTTTTTGTTTTTCACCCGTTTCTCTCGCGCGGAGCTGAAATCGGTGTTTTCGTAGACGGCTTGTTCGGGAGGAGGAGGAGAGGGAGATGTCGGGGAGGATTTCTGGTTGGCCCATGATGGAGAGAGGGAGGAGGAGGACGTCATCTTCCCGCTGTCACCATCACCACCACGAGGGAGCGGTTTCGGACGCCCTGGTTTGGGGCTAGATCCTCCACTGCCAGCACGAATCGGTGAGATCTCCGGCGGGGTCGGGGGGAGGGGATTATTTCTCTTGTCACTGACGGGCAGTCCCATAGGCTCCGCCGCGACCTCTTTTCCTTCGGCTGCCGGCTTCTTCTTCTTCACTGGTGGTTTTGGCAGCGGCTTCTTCCCATCCTGTGTGGCCGTCGGTTTGAGTGGAGGTTGAGGAGGGACTTTCCCCGACTTCTCTGACATCTTGAATTTTATCTCCTGTTGGAAGGAGGACCCAGGGGGAAGGGTCTGAGTCAGATCGCTTTCCCTGACCCCAGTTGTCGGGGAGACGACAGTGTACTCCTCCTTTTTCCTGCGAGGGTTCTTGGACTGAGTTGACGGCGCGGACGGTGATTGAGGTGTCTGGAGAACGTCCTGAAGAAACTTTCTTCTATCTCTCATGTCGTTCCGAGCCAGCAGTTTCCTCTGTAGCTGGTCGTGGTCTATCTCTGCAGAGTCGTAAGAAACAGACAGGTTCATGCATGCATGTACACCAACTCTTTTGCTAATACTTTTATCCACGGGTCTTGTACCTGGTGTACGCTTCTCTGTTACCCCCACACATGTATGTACATAGGTTTCTCCGTTCTATAATGTCCTCTGTAATGCTATTCTATATGTTTATTGTGACTTGCGTGGGCGGATCAAAGGAGCCGGGCATACTTTTATTTCCCGTATACGCATTCAATATGACCAATATTGAACGTTCAATAAAAGAATTATTGAACTAGCAAGCAGCATCGTACCCATAGTGTAGACAAAAACGGTTCTGTAGAGGCTTTAGAGGCGAGGGATGACTGTTCTGTAGAGTCTGTAGAGGCGAGGGATGGCTGAGGCGACCACACCCCTTCATTCAGCTCCAAGTGGCAAGCGAGACCGCGGCCGCGGCATACCGACCGGTCAAACGGCCCAGCGACCTATGAAACGAGTTTCTCTGAGGGAGAAAGAGCCACCATCACGACCTTGTTCGATTACGGTAGCCTCGAGAACAGAGAACTCGCTCCAGAAGCCAGCGAGTGCACACGTGCAGTAGGCTACGCAGTCGTATTTCTCTCGCTGGAGGTCGACGACTGCTACAAAGTCACAATACAACACATAATGTGCGTCCTATCGTTCTATACATGGACTTATGGGAACTCGGGGTGTGGTCGAGAGACTCATACAGCACGAGGCGCACGTTCCCATAAATCACGTATAGAACTCTAAACGCACATTATCTCTTACATAGGTTTCCCTGTTCTACCTCTTTGTGTATATAATCATACACCACACCTGAATGATTTCCATGTTTTATAACACCCTCTTTGCATACTACCATGGTTCGCCTGTCCTCTGTGATGCTGTTCTATATGCATACCACACCTGTATGTAGGCTTCCCTGTTCCTATAAATAATCTCTAGTCTGTAGTGCCCATACATACACAGCCCAGTGAGACAATTGCTGAGCCCCTATAATTAACAGCTGAACTGACCAGGAGGGTTCCAGGCCTCGTCGTAGACCAAGTGGAGGACTCCACCAATAGGAACTATCTTCTTGTCGATGCAGTTCTTCATGTAGTTGTCCAGTAAGTCCACCAGAGAATTTCCTTCTGCTCTCACTGCCTGCACACAAAAGATTAACACACTCATGTATGTTATCTCTGTATCCCTCTCTGTATGGTAGTATATACTAGGATTGTGGATGCTTAAGGCTAGGTTCACATTATGTCACATTGCCCCGTCGCGCCTTACCGCGTCGCGAGGATAGAATCTATCTTCGCGGCAAGACGCGACGCGGCACTGCACGACAGGGGCACTGCACGATAGGGGCACTGCACGACAGGGCACTGCACGACAGGGGCACTGCACGACAGGGGCAACGCGACGTATTGCGAACCCAGTCTTATTGCAGCACAATGTGTGGGTATATCAAAGGCACTAGCACTGCATCATGCTGAACACCCGGAGCTCACTGTGCAAGGTGTTGTAGCTGTATTGCATGTTTTTTTGCAGCCAGACATGGAGGATAGTCGCTTACAATAGGCCTCATATGCTGCGCCCTGCAGCCTTGTTGTCTGTTTAAAGACTGGCCACTCTGCACTGTTTTTTCGTGTATTACTTGGTGGATGTGGTAGTGAGTGGTTAGTCGTTTCTCTTGCTCATTAATCTTTATGGCTAGTGTCCCATTAAGAGCATAAAGTCATAAACATGCAAGCCAGCTTGTGTGGGACACCTGCAGGATCGGAAGTTCCTGGCATAACTACAGTAATTGAATGCCTGAAGCGTGACTAATTGCCATTCCTGAGACACCCATTTATTCACTTATGTTCACATAATCACAAGGTTTGTACATTAACCACTAGTTAATCCTCACTCTCCTTTAGAATGTGCCAGTATGTTACTAAAACGGAAACGTAATTACGAAGTAAGTCATGCATGTGTATTTACTGCCATAAGACTTACTGTTTTTTCGAATCTGAATATTCCAATTTGGTGGATGATCTTATGGTGATGGATGCCATCGGCACGCCTGGGGTGAGCGAGAGGTAAAGTTTAGTGTCTACACGTACGCGTTAACAGGGTTCATTAAAGGGTGACTAAAACTTCCATGAACGGGTGAAGTTCACTGTTATATTTATGAGGCTTCTATGTCAAGTATTGTGGGTGTGACACAACGCGACAAGCTTTCATTTGCGAAATACTTTGAGCACTCTGCCGGCTATTAATAAACAACACAACAACACACATTTGCTTCCATATCCCGGAGAATCATGGTCAGAAAATGTCCAGCACCATAGATGCTAATATTTCCCGTAAAAAAGAATAAATCTCACCAGAAAGTCATGACGTAGTGTCCGTTGGCGTTGAGCCGGATAGCAAAGTTGCCCACTTCACCTTCGGCCCTCATCTTTGTCTCGCTGTCTGCCCGGTTCATCTCCCCCCAGAACCACTTGTAGTTCTCCAGTTCCTCGCGGACCTCAAACATCGCCGAGTCACTGCTTGGCTTATTCTGATGGACATGGTTTCACAATTGGCCTACTAAATCAGATCAAGGACACGGGGTTTTTAGCACGCCTTTAATATCCTCCTCCTCCTTTCAGAGGGTACAATGCGGTTCAATTCCCACTGGTACAGCCTATTTGTAAAAATTCTTTTCTAACTTTCTTTCTGATTATGCACTCTTCACCATATTTCAGTCTACCAGGCGTGAGATCGGGAGCGATATGCGCAGATTAATTAATCTGAGGTAACCCGGTGTACATGGATAGCCATCTGTGCCGGTGATTATACGCACTTACATTACTTATGTATCCAGCTATATACAAACATGTGCCAGGTTTGGGAGTTAGCCTCTGCGAAATGGCAACAAGTCAATGGAGCACGAGACCCTTAAACGATCATCATTATGTGAATCTGGGACCCCAGAAACATTATTACAGGCACATCCATATGTATATACACACAATTAGGGCAAATGGAGAAAATGAGGATCTCAACAACTTGGTAACGAGGTAGAAAGGCAATGCAAGTCAAACAAGTCAACTACACCCAGGACACGTCGTCTCAGTGCTGCTACACTATTATGTGTCCAACGTCTGTATGGCAGTATTGTTTGGTTTATGAACTGTCACTGAATATCTAAAGGCTTATAACTTCATGGCACCGCATGAGTGTGGCTCAGGCCAATGATGAGAGGTTATGCACCAACTACTACAATAGGTAATAGTGGAAGTTTGAACTGTCACTGAATATCTAAAGGCTTATAACTTCATGGCACCGCATGAGTGTGGCTCAGGCCAATGATGAGGGGGTATGCACCAACTACTAATTAGTTAGAATAGGTAATAGTGGAGTTTGGTGTGTTTATGAACTGTCACTGAATATCTAAAGGCTTATAACTTCATGGCACCACATGAGTGTGGCTCAGGCCAATGATGAGGGGGTATGCACCAACTACTACAATAGGTAATAGTGAAGTTTGAACTGTCACTGAATATCTAAAGGCTTATAACTTCATAGCACTGCATGAGTGTGGCTCAGGCCAATGATGAGGGGGGTATGCACCAACTACTACAATAGAGTGAAGTTTGGTATGTTTATACAAGTATACTGGAAGCTGTACATTACCTTGTCCATCTTGATGGGGGCTCTCTGGTGAGTCTCAGACCCACTGTGGTGCTGTCTGTTTGTCCACACCTGTCCGTTGTCACTGACTCCCAGACCACTGTCCATACTCATCTGGTGGTTGGGGAGGAGGGGGGGGAGGAGGGAGGTGAGAGAAAAAGAGAGGGGGAGGAGATATTGGAGAGAGACTGATCTTTCACGGTTTAATTTAATGGTAATCAGCAGCAGGGGCTGACTTGCTTTCATCTCATAAATGTGTCTAACTTCACACGATAATATGCACAATTTCTACCCTTATGGTACTGCGGCAGTGAAATGGACATGCTGATGTAACTGCTGAGTAAAATTTAGTGCAGAACTGCAGAAATGAGACACCGAGCTGACTCATAATTCACCTGGGAAACTAGGGGGAACTGATACTGGGGGCCTTGGCAAGACAGACACCCCTACATAATAACTAAGTACGGTAGTACTTAGTATTATAGGGATGGGCATGGTACCTAGCATCATAGATGTATGGAGCTATGATAGGGAGTTTTGTTCATCTTATTCTTCTCCTATCGAATGCAAGAACGCTATTGGCTTGGTGCATTGTCTATGGCCCCATAACCACTGAGGCACCACTAAACCTAACCTAAGGCATGTAAATGTACTGATGCGTGGTCTAACTGCTGTGGATGCCGTTTGAAACATTGTATAGGGTGTGAAATGGGAGGGGCTTATACCTTGCTGAGTCTCACAGAGCCACTCCCACTGTCTCCGGGGCTACTGCCGCCACTGTCAGAGCCAGGGACCTGGGGCAGTGGCTGGTGGACAACAGTCTTTGGTGGCTTCCTCGTAGCCACACCAGTCTTCCTCTGTCAGGACAGATCACACACACAGCTCTCACATGATCATCATGTGACAACAACAGCAACGGGGTAGTCGGAAACATTAGTTATTATGGACCGATGTATAATGATCTATGTGCAGACACTTTTGATTGGAAGTGGAGTCTTGCTTTTTGACACAGGTTGTACATGAGTAAAAATTTACGGAAATTAGCCAATTAACAAAAATTCATAGGTGGTAATTCCATCCGTGATTATGCTGGGTGCACACACAAAAACAAAGCTTCCAAGCATTCGTACTTTTACACAGAAAGAAAACTCACCATTTCGATGGCCTTTTGAGTGCTTGGATCCACTTTTGTTTCGTGTACTCTGTGTCACACTGCAGCAGTGAGCAAGAGAGAGGAGAGAGAGATGGATCAATTGTGTGTGCTGTGCGTGAATAGTGCACTCTTGGCAACTCCTCACATTACTACTGTATACTGTAGTGGCATGGTACTGTATTATAAACTGAAGTCAGTACTGAAGTATGGTAGCTTCACCTGAATGTACAGTTACCGCCATCGGTCCAACGAGAGTGAATTTCACGCCTTCTCTGTGGAAACTACACTGCATAATCTTTTACTCTAGACTACGGAGATGCTGAGAGGGGAGAGAGGAGAGAGGGCAGGAAGAGAGAGGGAGAGGAGAGAGGGAGGAAGAGGAAGGGAGAGGAGAGAGGGGAAGA